CAAACAAACAAACAAACAAACAAACAAACAAACAAACAAACAAACAAACAAACAAACAAACAAACAAACAAACAAACAAACAAACAAACAACAAACAAACAAACAAACAAACAAACAAACAAACAAACAAACAAACAAACAAACAAACAAAAACACTTAAGCAAGCTGAAGTGCAACAACATAAGACGCCCTGAGTGCTGACTGCTGCTGTTTGTGGTTCTGGTAAAAAGTTGTTATTGTTTGTGTACTTGCAATTTCAGTAAACTTCTCATATTTAGCTTTGTGTAACGTGTGGTYGACTAATATTAAAATTCTTCATGACAGAATGGCAGACAGTGACTTAAAACAGATTAAACACATTGGTCTGCTTTGAAATTCTTTGAACAGAAAAAAAAATAGTTCTATGTTTTTGGGAAGGACCAATTGACGGGCCAGATCTGGCCTGCGGGTCACCAGTTGCCCATCCTTGCTGTAAAGTTTGTGCAGAGTCCTTTAGATTTATTGGAGAAACTGAGCTTTTTTATTTCACAGTTGAGGCACTGCAAGTAAAATATAAAGTTTATTATTTAAGTAAAAATCTAATTACTTGTTTCCCAGTACTCTGCCTCCCATTTATGTAGATAGCTGTAAATAGTTTTATGTAAAGTGGTTTGAAAACATTTTTTTAAAGAACAACAAATATTCAGAGAGGATCACAACAGCTTATTGGACATGATTACAGTTGAAAAGCAAATTTAACTAAAATGATTCCCTTGATGAAAATGCACTGTGGAGGCAGTTTTAAATGATGTTTTACATCTTATGGATTTAGACGAAACATAATTCATGACTTGCAAAACGATACCAATATATGGCTGTGTGGGATAAATGTGGATTTTCAAATGGCCACCACTGCTGGATATATGAGTCACGTCTCCTGGTAGATATTGATATGCGACTTGGCCCTGCTTTGGCTCTCCCTCAGGCCTGCTGAGATTAGAGGAACTGGTCCGTCGCTTCCTCATCTCACGAGAGACGCTGTCTGTCAGGATGCTGGATGACAACCTGGACCCCACCCCGCTGCTGAAGGAGATCCGTGACGACAAAGTGGCCACCATCATCATCGATGCCAATGCTTCGGTCTCTTATCTCATCCTCAAGAAGGTCAGGACTGAAGCATCACGCCCTCAGAACTGCCCACACGTGTTCGGATTAGAAGTTAGAGCAGATAGTTTGATACATGGGGATTTATTTTAGGTTTGTGCAGAGCTGAAATTTTCAAATTACAGCTTCCTATTTGTAAAATAATCAAACAAGTTGTTCAAAGTTCTGCAGGGAGCATGTTTTGTTGTAACAGAATTAACKTATTTATACTTTCTCTGCCCTCTGGAGCTGCATAACAGAGACATTTCTGCATGTCAATTAGTTGTAGTGTTCTGAAAGTTTTTGAAAAAAAACCCCCCAAATATCTTGTTTTTTTAATTTTTATTTATTTTTTGACAAAAGAACATATTTAGCTGGAATTTGGTGCAGATGTTACACAGCCTTGTTCTGATTCATCTTAATGCCGATAGCCAGCGCAGTGAGTCACASTTTGAATAGGATGTTTTCTTTTGGAGTGCCTGTCTGCCCTCGGCTAAATGTCCTAGTGTTAGTGTGATGATGTAAAACTGTGATTAACGTATGCTTCCTCCTCGTCCTCCTCTTCTCCTCTTTCATGATCTCCTTGCTCTCTGCCTCTTCATTAACTCCTCTCCTTTGCCTCCTTTCTCCTCGCCATCAATCTTCCTTTGTCCTCKTTCATTTTACTCTCGCTTTCCACACTCATATCTCAACCTACCTCCCTTTTTATTCTTTCTCTTTGTCCTGCAGGCGTCAGAGTTGGGGATGACATCAGCATTTTATAAGTACATCCTCACCACCATGGTAAGAACATTGTTTCTCTACCTCTCCTTCATTTTCACCTGGGTCTTTTCTCCTCCTCCTCTCCGGCCAAAGCGCGAGCAAGCAGGCAGGGGAAATGTTCAATATGGGGAGGTAGCGAGAGGTGACAGTGGGAAAAAAGAAAGGGGAAGAGGAGATGAAAGAWGGGAAAAGGGAGGAGGAGATCTGAGGAGCAAACATGCAGTTCAAAGATGTGGAGAGGAAGAAAGTAAAAAAAAAATAAAAAAGGAGGTCTGAGGTGAAGGTGATGACAGATGCGATGTGCTCTTTTTCCTTCTGCCACCTTCTTCGTGCTTCTGGGCTTTTCATCTGCCTGCTTGATATACATAACTCCTCTCCCCTTTTACCATTTGAATTAATGTGTCATTTTATGTCTGATTTTTATTTTCTCCTTTTCGACACTCTGATGCATTCTTGTGCCGCCGTATCACTTTGAAAAGCCACTCCAGTCATTTCCATCAACCCCTCTTATCCTCGTATCACTGTTTTCCCCTCTTCTCCAAGCTAACAATATTCTTGTTGTCTCTTTCCATCAAATATTAGATGTCACTCCCAGCAGCCTGTTTTTTTTTTTGTTATTGCACTCCTTTTTTCACAGTAATTTTCTTTTGTGCCGAGGTTTGAAAGACTGTCAACATTGCCACTCACCTGAATTTCCTGTGTCTCTCTCTGCAAACAGGACTTCCCTCTGCTGAGGCTGGATGACATAGTGGATGAGCAATCCAACATCATTGGTTTCTCCATGTTTAACACCACACACCCGTTCTACTTGGAGTTCATCAGGAGCCTGAACCTTTCCTGGCGGGAGGGCTGCGATTTAACCTACCCCGGCCCTGCTGTTAGTGTCTCGCACCCACGAGGACTCGTCTCAAATTATTCGTGCTACTTTTAGAGCTTTGTTGGTTTTCCACTTAAAGTTAAGCTGCTTAATTTCTCTTGCTGATTCATGGAGCAGTTAAAGAGATTTAACCAGCCTTTTGCTTGTATTTAATATGTATCCATATTTGCTTCCTTCCTGCTTATTTCCACATTCTTATCAATTTTTCTTATTTCTCTTCCTCCCCTCCCCTACTGCCATGTTGTTATCCCTTCAATCACCTGTGTTAGCGCCTCCCGCCTCATTACATCTTCTGCCTTGCCTCCTTTCCTGTCTTCSCTGTGTTTGTTTTTTCATCTATCCTGTCCTTTCTTCCCCCTCCTCCTTTATCTCCCATACATCCTCTTCCTCCACAGCTCTCTTCGGCGCTGATGTTTGATGCGGTGCATGTGGTGGTGGGGGCGGTGAGGGAATTGAACCGCAGTCAGGAAATTGGAGTGAAGCCACTCAGCTGCACCTCGCCTCAGATCTGGCAACACGGGACTAGCCTCATGAACTACCTGCGCATGGTAAGCGCTTGGGAAGTGGGCATGTCGGCAGTATACGCTGCCGCTTATTGTGTGTGAGCTCAGGCACATTGTTATGGACAAATACAGTAGTGTGCGCAAGTTGACTCACTAAAAATACATTAAATCTGTTACTATGTGTGTCAAAGCAAGTGTTTTTTCAGTTTCAAAATAAAGTAAAAATGTCTAAAAGTAGAAGTGAGGGTTTCTGCCTGCATGTGTTTGACAAATATCACAGTTTTCAAAAACACTTTTGGTGATTTTTGTTCAAAATTTGCGTAATTCTGATGTATTTACCATTAGCTGCTTTTCTGAGTTTTGTCTGAAGATCTATTAAAGGAGACATATCACACATTTAAATCCTTCTTTTTAACATTGAAATCAATCAGTTCAAGTCTAAATAAAGTGGACGTGCATGCTTTGGTTTGAATGAAGACAATGAGTTGGTAAGTCCAGACCCTATTTGACGGTTTCATTGCAAATACTCTGACGTAATAATTCAGAAAACGYCACAGAAAATAGAGAAGACTGAATGGGTTAAAAAATTTGACCAAAAAATAATCTAAAAATATCCATGCCGTACCAGGAAAAATTTAATTAAATTTTTCTTTGCTCCTAGACTCCAAATACACAACAAAATACATTTAACAGCTAAAAAAGAAGATTTTGCATACGTCAGCATTAAAAATAATTTGGGGACAGCTGGCTTCAAAGGCTATCCATGCATTTTATAGTTGTAGAATTGTTTTTCGTATATATACGTATGTATATATATATGTGTATGTGTGTGTGTGTGTGTGTGTGTGTGTGTGTGTGTGTGTATTTGCATCCAATTTTTCCAAAACTTTAGCTCACTGCAGCTGAAAGGTATAGTTTTAACTTCTTCAACTTTGACTTGTCTCCAGAAAGCTTCAGTTTGTTTATAAGGCCATTTATAAAGATGTCGGTATGATGGGAGGGAAAATACTTTGTTTCTATGGAAGTTGTATTTCTGCATGTGTTGCTTCAGAATAAAACAGCGCAGCGCTGCTTGAATGTCCCCRAAAGCCTCCTGCAGATCTTATACGTTGAGAACAGTCGTTTGATTTTTTTCCCCTCCTGCAAATCCTTCAAGCAGTTTTGTCAAAAACTTTTTATGCTTTTTCTGAATAATGCTTTCTTTCTTCACTGCCATTTTGTAGTGCTCATGCTAGCAGAGAAAATTGTCTTTCCTTTGTGGGTAATAATTACTTACTTTTTCTAACCTACCAGGCAGTTGCTTTTAGAAACCTTTGGGTGCTGATGGTTGCGATAAGCTTTGAAGAGTTTGAMGTTTTCAGAGCTGTGGATTAGTGTTTCCTGATGGTTCTAGACTTATTCCTAACAGCAACAATTTTATGTATAAGGAAAAAAATCTGCTGTTTGATTATATTTTGACATTTGACATTGGCCTGATGGAACAAGTGGAACATATTTAAAGCAACATACACTAATCTCARTTTTTTAATATGTCCTCTTTAATGCTGTTTCTTTAGGCATAACATTRTCTTCTGCTCAGAGCTTAGCTTTGTGCATGCTAAACAACAGGAGAGGACATTTTAATATTTATTACTGTTACATCCCGTCTAGGAGCAACCAGGATGTAACAAAAATTTTCAAGTTCCCATCCTCTGCACCATTCTTTGGTATAAAAAG